ATCACAATTACCCTTATCATTCAAAAGTTACATATAATTCTGCAAGAACGTCTCGAATAAATAAAAATTAAATTCCCGGGGCAAATATTTTCGTCCAGTGTAGCGAATAAACTGGCCGGAAGTCGTCTGAGTTTTGAAAGAAAAAAAAAATAAATGTCAAAATAATGTCAACTAAACGACAGTTTAAGCCTGTACTCCAGTAAGTACTCCACTTAACTTTGATTGGGAGGTGCATAATAAAACAAATACTGGATGATCAGGAGCTGGATATGGCCAGAATACCTATCCTCGAAAAAGTATTGGGCTCGGCTGCTGCCTCGCCCAATATTTTTTCTCGAATAGGTATTCTGCCATATCCAGCTCCTGATCATCCAGTATTTGTTTAATATTAGGACAGAAAAAACAATGGGCGATATCAATGTTTGCATGTTGATTAATGTCACATAAATGATGTTTACATTTGAAACTGGATTTTAACTACTCCACATCATTTGAGACTGAATGCTATATCTTGTTTGAGTACTTGTATCTAACAAGTGGCCCTCTGACTTCCCAAAATGCTTGCTGTAGACTGTCCTAATAACTAAGACAGGGCCATAAAATTACTCATTCTCATACTCTTTCCACCTTCAAAAAGAATTTAAAATTACACTTGCTCAACAATTAAAAACATTATTTATTTAAAGTCTAACTTTTCTGGAGATAACTGGCGCGAAAAAGATCACTTTTTAGCGTGGGAAGAGGAGGATGGAGGATGAGACCAACTTAATGTGAAATATTTAGTGTCGATATTTAATTCTTATGCGCACTGATTTCTTGTATTAGTTTTTGCTACTTGTAAATATTTTTTGTTTAATATAACGTGGATAATATGCCCCTTAGGGTGTCTTCCACTATTGTGATTGTACTTGTATTATTTGAAATTTAGGAAAACAAAATAAAAAATAGAATATAATAAATAAATAAAAATATATGTGAAAAAATTGACTAAAAATGAAAACGATTTTTCTGAAAATGTAATTTTGAACGTTGCCTAATGTATATTCGAAAGAGCTTCATCATAAGTACGAGTACTATGTCAATCGTAAAAGCTCCCCGAAACGTAAATAACCACGACTATAAAACGATTATTCTACGTAGTCCCAGACTCATCATGTCAACCCAATATAGATTATCAATTAATCTCATTTACAGAAGACTTTGGCAAAATTGAATACGAATGCATTTTCAATATTAGTTGTTCAAATCATTTTTAATTTTGCAAATATTTTTACTATTGTTAACATTCCCCCTATTTTACCGATATGCTTTGTAAACTTAAATACAAATCATTTAAAATGACATTTTGCTTCTAAACAAAGTGTTTTTGGCCAATAATAGCTTTACTCAACTATTACTAAGTGTAAATCGAATTAAAATACGAATGCGCTTAGAGTCGGTTATAGTAAGATAATAAAGATGTCGCTATGCTATTAGTATTTACTTTGTAAATAATCATTTATGCATTGTTTAAGCTCTGACAATGTTTAATGGTTATTTAAATGAAAGAACCAAAAAACTAAATATACATACCATCGAGACAAACCCACTTTGAATTTTTCTGCGTCATCCTTGTAGATCCTTCCTTATATTCCCAGCTGGTTCCAGATGGATCAATTTGATTAGAGCCAAAAGGGACAATATTCGAACGAGCATCATAAAGGGTCGAATGAAACTTAGTAGCGATTACCCATCTGCCTTGTGTTCTGGAATTCTGAACAAAATACATGTTGTACTCTGCATTACCCTCTTTCGTGTACCGTGGTAATAGTGCATTGGGGTCGCCATTAATTTCATAGTCACCGTTCATACCAGAATCCTCGGGCAAACCAGAAACACGTAAACTTCCACACCCTAACACTTAAAGAAAAATATAATTATATTAGGTCATATACATTACACAAGGTATATATAGGCCTTCTTGACTATCACTAAAGCGAACATCAGTTCTGACCATGCGAACTTTCCTTGCACTCGAACCACGATTCTCACATCGCGAACGTGAACTCTTGGAAACTTATTTTGATATTCATAAAGCAAACGTAACTTTACGATGAACGTTAAGTCATGTGGATCTTTAAAAATATTTGTATCGAGTATTTTCACCGTACGCGTCTAACTTTACGTCCAGCCTTAAAAACATTGTTTATTCATACGTTCAGTATCCAATTACAACGACATTTTTTAGTATTAGTCGTAATGTGTATAATGCTAAAATTATTTGTCATTTGCTTGACATATTTAAGTATCTAGGTAGTCAAATAGATACCTGTAGGGTCATTAATTTTTAGTCATACACGTTCAATGTAAATCTTTTTCAAATACCAGTGCGCCATCATTCGTAATAGAAAGAACGTACTATAAGCCAAGATGGCGTTGGTGGTAGATGTGCGCATCCTCGAAATCTTTGACGATATGAAGTTTCCTTCGAGGTTTAGATTAATGAGGCATTTAATTTTGGAGTTGATACAGCGAATTAGTATGGACATAAGTTCCCAAACACGGGCGAGTTGTGCCCTTCCCCCATTAATTCAGGTATTGCCAAAACAATATATGACATGCACGGACCTGGGGACAATTCAGATTCAAAAAACATTTTAGAAATATTGTCCTCGAGATCTTGTTGCTCTGTGAATTGTACCAGGATCGAATTAGGATAAAGCATTTTATTTTAAAGGTTGACAAAACTTTTACAAAATGTAACGCTTGTCGTTTCTGACGTTAAAAGTCGATTTGCGCCTTATATTGCATATTGTTTTGTTTCGGTATTTTGACGCCTTAATATTACTCAACTTGTCAAATAGTAATTTTGTGAAAATCAATTGTACGAGGTATAGTTCTTTTTGGAAATACCATTGCCATTGTTTATTATTAATAACATCTTGTTCAAGTTCAATTTTATTTATGAGCGCTTTATTTTCCGAAGATGTAAAGTTTACTCGTCTTTTTTATCAGGCATAATTTTGCCGGGGAATGTGGTGAAAATAAAATGGAATACATAACAGTAAGCTTTTACATAGGGAAACATAAAGACGCAACCGTGACAACGAGGAACGCGTCAAATTACGCGTGTATGAACGATGCAATCATATTCGAATACGTACATGCACGTGGTCAAAAAATGGGACATGATATGAGTGTATATAGTTATTATCTTGATTGTGTAAGTCCTCGCGAAAAGTTAAACGCTTATCTTCAATCCGCGTACGTGTATGATTGCGAGGGAGGGATGTTTTTACGTCATACGCACAATTGAGTTACCTGGACGTAAATGGAAATATTTACGCTGGCTTAATGAATAAAGCCCCCCTCACATATGAACGAAAACCCCTTTACGTCAACTTGCGTATAGTGGCGAATAGGAAATTAGTCAAATTCGTTCTCATTAGTACGAGTTCGTGACAGTACGTCGCAGTGTTCGTATAGATGCGTTTGTCAGCGTTTACCTCGGTTGAAATTAGTCTTTTTCGTCGGAAAATTTTGAACATGTTCAAAAAATTGTTTCGTTTCAATGCGTTAACGATCGGTTAACCTTCGCATTGGCTTCGTCAAGTGACGTTACAGGTCGCTGGGGATAAGGTCGTATCCCCATAATTTGCATATCAAGCGACTGACGACGATCCCATTACGAACCATTGCGGCAGTTTGCAACCTTGTACGCAGTGGAACGAATACTTACGAATTGGATCTACGTTAAGCTGAATAATTGAGAGAATACCAAATTAAATCAAATAATTCTTTTGTCATGGAAGACACAGATCGACTGAGGCTGTAGTATGTGGCTGCTATGGCCCAGCAAGAAGTTTTAACGCAGCAACTTAACATTCATGAGTTCATCAGAGGCCGTTTTAGGCGGAGAAGGGGAGTCAGAGGACGTGGCATCTGGAGTAGACAATGGTTGAATCCAGAGAGACGGCGCCAATTCGGCATATATGATCAGCTCATGGTGGAGCTGAGAAGAGAGGACCCCAGAACATTCAAAAAGTTCCTCTGTGTGCTAACAGAAATGTATGACGAAATCTTTGAGAGGGTCCGTCCTCGGCTATGGAAACAACATAGCTGGTACAGAGAGCCTTTAGGTCCAGGCCTCAAACTAGCTGCCACTATTCGCCACCTGGTTTCTGGTGTCAAGTACTCTGACATTCAGTACTCCTGACGGGTTGCTGAGAATACCCTCTCTGTAGTGGTAAGAGAAGTCTGTCAAGCTATATGTGACGAATATGTTGATGAGGTCATGACAGCCCCCTCCACACCTGAAGAATGGAAACAATTGGCTGATGGTTTCCTCGAGAAGTGGAACTTTCCAAATTGTGTTGCTGCAATTGATGGCAAACACATAGCCATCAGAAAGCCTAATAGCTCTGGTTCCTTATATTATAATTATAAGGGTTCCTACAGCATCATCTTACTTGGAATTGTCGACTCAGACTACAAGTTCGTGTGGTGTGATCTGGGTGGTGAGTAAGCTCTACATACGTTACTGCATTAATGTTATAATTATATAGATTTAATACAATTATAGCTATATTTGCAATGGATACTGACAGTATTTTATCCTCTTACTCATGTATAATTTCAGGATATGGTTATGGATATGCCAGGATCTATAATGCATCGGAATTCTTCGAGATGGTGCAGGATGGTTCGATCGCATTTCCACACCAACAGCCATTTCCCAACGATATGCCTTTTTTCTTGGTAGGGGATGACGCATTCAGCCTCAGTGATCACATACAGAAGCCCTATGGACATAGAACCCTCACTAGAGAGGAAAGAATTCTAAATTACCGGTTATCGAGGGCTAGGAGGGTTTCAGAAAACGCCTTTGGAATTTTGGCCAACCGATTCCAGGTACATTGTAATTTATAATATTTGTCGGCGAAACAAACAGTTAAACTCCAAGTTCCTGGGACTATCTAGATACGTTTATTCGACTTCGAGTAAATGAGACTTCATTCGAACTTCCGCTAATTGAGACATGAAAATAGTATGTTTTGTTTGATAAATAATTTGAAAGATGCGCATAAATTGGAACCAACTGAGTTCCACATTCGACCTATAACAGTTTAACTATTAATCCGTATTTTCAAATTAATTCAATTTAACGCATAATAACATTTCAGGTACTCCTCTCAACGATGAACCATAAGCCATCCACAGCGAGGCTGATAGTCAAGACATGCTGCATTCTCCACAACTTGATGAGAATGAGATACCCTATAATGCAAAATGCACTGATTGACCAAGAGGACAGAAGAGGCGACATGGTTCCTGGGGAACGGAGGAGAGATCGCAACTTGGAAGATGCCAGGGCTGTCAATATCAGAGGCCACAACACAGCAAACAAAAAGGGGAAGATTGTGAGAAATACTCTGAAGCACTGGGTCAACTCTCCAGCAGGAAGTGTACCATGGCAAGACAGGATCGTGCCAAATTAAAGGTTGGACTTTGAGAAATAATCTAAAGCACTGTGTCAACTTGAAATTAAGTGTAATTTGCCTGACATAAATTGTAAAAACTAGTTTAAACGTATTTTTGTTTTACGAGTCGAATAATAAGAAATGTATTGATATAATATCAAAGGGAAAATACCAAACATGATCAGAAAACACAAGAGAAACAAAATCTTTAAGCGAATATTGTCATTAAAAACAAACCCCAACTATCCCAAATGAAATTCAAGCGTCAAAAGAAACAGTGTCCCACACCCCTCCCCTTCCATTCTAATATCAAATAGTACGACCCAAAACCATAAAACATAGGGATATTTCATTCAAACTGAAGTAATTACAATAATTGCTTGGCATGGTAACCAATTGTACGTGTTAATAACATTCCCAATGGATGATCACTGTATGAATTTCAAATCTGTGTTGACTACGACCTCTTAATTAAGGTAGACTATGTTAGAAATGTCAGAAGAGCCATATTAAATACAGGGTGACACCAAAAAATGCCACCCACTTATTTCAGAATGACTTTCTTTTATGTGTAGATAGAGTGTTCAATGGAAGAAAGATTAGTATGCTTGCATTGCATCAATAACTAAGAATAAAGAGATATCACATTTTCCGCGGAGGCATGCTCTGACACAAAATCGTTCAAAAATGTAATTTAGAAATCTTTCTTTTTTTTAAATTTACTTAAAAAGTGAGTCAGTTCCTCAAATATAGCACAAATTATGAAGGAAATGGGTAGATATGACAGTTAAATGATAAAATATGTGAAAACAATACAGAAATGACACAAATAATGGCTAAGAAAGAAATCTCAATTTCAGAAAATTGTATTTGATGCAATTCAAGTACATCAATCTTTGATAAAAAATTACGAAGATTCCGTCGTTATTGACAAAGTTATTCCAGAATAAGTGGGTGGCATTTTTTGTGTCACCCCGTATATTGGCACGGCAACAGAACATATTGCCAAAAAAAGGCTTGAACTAATTGAGAAGTTGATGACAGAAATTTATCTTAAGTCAATCTAAACACTAATTACAAAGTTACACCAATTACAAGTTATTACAAAGCTGTAAGAATTGGCCGAACACCGATGACCGACCACAAAATGGCCACAGCCAACAATACTAAAATTGGGAGGCTATAATAATATATCAACACTTTTGGAAAGTGGTGATAAACATTAAAATTGTGTTGAAGTTGATAATGAAAAACGTTTAATAAAATTGAGGTATGCCTTGGGGAAAATGTTGTTTCGGTGTTGCAAAAATGTACATCCAAATCAGCAACAACGTTTTTGAATATTCCTTTCGAAAACATGACCAACATTACGAATACTTAATCTGGCTTTTAACAAGACAAATGATTATACTAAGAGAATAAACTTTATTTAGAA